AGGTCTCAGTTGCTGTTTAATGATTGCTTTCAATTAGTCTGTTCGTTTTCCTCGCCTTTTTTGATACCCGTCTCTTTTCGGTGGTTTTTTCAAGGTATACCATATTTTTGGATTATTTCAGTGTTTTTGGGGATCATATTTCCCTAAGATTGAGTGGTCAATTCACACTGTTCCTGCTCGAAAACAAATCATTTTGGTTTGTTTTTGATCTATACATTTGATTAAGTCAATCATTTATTAAGCAAGCTGTTGACTTTAATTTATTCAAGCAATTTGTTAGGCTATATTTATAATTATAGGCAGCTAAGTTTTAAATGTAAAATTTTGTTATGGCAACAAATTTCATAATCATTTTTTGTATTTAGGAATCAAATATAATATATTTGCAAAACCACTAAATACACACCACACTTCTAAGGGTATATTAATATAAAACATTAAATAATCTTACTTTATAAATAAAAGTAGTATGTTACTTATATTTTATGAATACCTATTTATTTCTGTAAGTACATAACCATTTATTTTTTACATAACATATGTTAATTAATCAATATGATATTTATAGAAAGATATCTTAAATTGTTTTTAAATTATTGATGTTCGAAAGTATACTAAAGTTATATATCAGGTATTTCTAAGTCGAAGCCCTTTCGCTATAGTCTTCTGTTCTTTCTGACAAACAAATGCGAGAACTACAGACAATCGAAGCCAGTCACTCAGTGAGACACTCACTCAGTTCCTGACTCACTCACTCACAGACTAAAAGTGCGGGGGCGTTGGAAAGGTTTTCGATTATTTTGTGTAGGGGCTGTGATTTAAGAAATGAAAAAACCAAAAAAAAAAAAAAAACGAATGAGTCAATCCGGTATAGACCTTTTAAGTGTTTACGCTTGTTTTATTAATTTCCATCATACATCTTCGACTGTCAGCGATCATGAACATCTTTGACTTTGACTTTGCCTTCAAAGTCTTGCCACATTCAATGATCACTCGTTAACGATCTGCCAAAGTAAAATTAAGACGAAAAAAGCAAATCTATTGCAATGATTTTAATAATACTTTATTCCATTCGGGGTAATAAGGCTTTGAAAGTATTTATACTGAAAGAGACAACACGTTGAAACCGATGACTTTGTATCAGTTTTGAAAACAAGCAAATTTGAGGAGTTGAAAAATGCTTAAAAAGAAGTCTTTAGCATTTGGAGCTACACTTTTGGAAGCTCCTGCCAGTGGCCATTGGCTGTCAGTTATCTTCGGAACTCGGTTTCCGGTTGTCCCGACAGTCCGAAGAGTCCGGTGAGTACAGACCCAGATCTGCCAAAGACAACTGGGCCGGATGACGGGCACAGTGCAGTCAATTGACCACTAACTGTTGCAGGACTCGGCGCCAGTCCATGTACTTCGAATTTGTGGCAGCCACAACGTGAGGCAGACAGCTTAAGACGCTGCCCGACAGCATGTCCACACACTTGCCGCACTCAGCGAAAAAAAGGGGGATTTTGTATTTATTTATTTATCAACAAAAGTTTGGATTTGGATATGATATTCTCGTAAAATCTAAAATCTTATTAACCTGAGATAGATGATATTTTCTTTTTTAATTTACAATTTGAATATAATTTAATAAAAAAGTCAAAAATAAATACAAACAATATAATATAAATAATATATCATATATGTATGATAACATTTGTAAAGAAATCTGTTCTGTTCCCCAAAATTAGGTATGCACAATAATATTCTAGATTTCCTGCTGATATTTTTTATGGTGCAGGATAACGTTGAGGGGACGACAAGTGGGAGTGGGTCAGGATGAAGGCCGTGTCGTTGACAGTCGTCATGCGCAGCTACTTAGACGGACATAAAATTATGATTACAGCAAATGCCACATGCTCCACATGCCACTCCCCCTTCGAGGGGGAGGGAAAAAATAGGGCGCGGCGAGGGGGGCCGGAAAAATCCGAGGCAATTCATTACAATAAGCTCACGAATATGCCATAAAAATGGCAGCTCTCTTTCTGCGGCAATGCACTCGAAGCATGAAATTGCCAATTCCAATCCGGTTTTAGTTGTAAAAACTTTCATGATCCCCACATTAATAGAATATGCCATGTACTCCGCTCAGTCAGCCTACGATAATCTCTCATCTTTTGGCAAGGCCATTATGGATTGTTCCCACCGCAGAGCAGCGCTGGTCCTGGATCCACTTTGCCACGCCCACAAGGACCTACGTCCTTTGTGCGATTATCTGTTGAGTTCGTTTCAAGTCTAAGAAGTCTTAGTGTCAGCATTAAAGGTTAAATGCAGTGAGGCTTTCCTGAGAATCACACAATGCCACACTTAAGCCTAGGAATCTCGTCAGGACATTCAAAAGCCCAAGAAAATAATTATATAATTGCATACTCCAAAGCAAACAATTATATAATATTGTATTCCATGCTATTAAATAATCTTCTCTATCTTTTGATTACAATTTTACAAAGAGCATTTAAAAGAAACTTACAAAATATACTTTGAATACGTTTATATTTATCGTTTAAGTGTGTTCGGATTTTATTATCTGAAAATGTAATTTAAATTTAAACCTTATTTAACATAAATAAATTGCTTTTATATCAAATATTTTAGATCTAATGTATTCCACGTTAATTAAAATATTTTAAAATTTAATATGCAATTTATATTTTATATTATGATTTAATAATTAATTCAGTTCATATTCTTAAGCGCTATTCTCATAATTTCTTGTAATGATTATATTAATTATTATATTATGAATGCAGTAAAATCTCTAGTTTTAACTTAATTAAGCCATTTTCCAAGAGCCAGAAGGAGTTGTGTTCCTTTCGGTACATATCTTACCCACTACCGATATAATTAACCGGCCCAAAATCTCCACCACATTAAGACTCTCTTATTTAACCCCCTTCGCAGTAATTTAGTGTAAACAAACCACTTGACTAAAATTCACTCATTCCCCCCACACTTTCTAAGCCTCAGCCCATTGTTTGTTCGCCATGGTTTCCGTTTCCATTCAGCTTCAGCTTCAGCATCAGCTTCAGATTCTGATTCAGATTCAGATTCAGTTGAATAACCGATGCAGGAGCTTCTGGAGCTACTCCGCAATCATTAGCTGTAACATTAGCGTCTGTCTTGCGGTGAAAACTTTCGGCTACCTGAAACGCTTTTCCGCCTTTTCCGCCCTTTTCCCCTTTTCCCACAGCCACCTTTGGAAAATCCACCGAAATGTGCAAGAAGTACAAGTCTCGTGGAGAAACGGCGAGAGGACGAGGGAATCCAATGGCAATGGTTGAACCTATAAAACCACGTAATCTCCAAGCGAGTTCTTTAATTATGCTACACACAGCCAACTGGAACTGCAATTGGAACTGGAGCATCAGGTGGCAGGTGGCTGCTGGCTGCTGGGAAAAGCGAAGGAAAAGCGTAGGAAAAGCTGGCCAAAAGGAACGGGGGCGTAGCTGGCAAAGAGGGCGTGGCAGGACACACAAACAGGCCTGAAGGACGAGAAATCCAGAGCGGAGCAGAGCAAACAAAATGTGAGGCGAAAGCCGCTTACAAAACCGCAAAATGCTACGGACATCTTTTTGCCAGATGGGATGTGAGGGGGAGGAAAATAGCCCCTGAGTGGGTGGGGGAAATGGGGGAAAATGGGGGGAAAAATGGGGGACAAAAAAGGCGAATCCAATGGCCACCAAAGGCAGCCATTTTGAAGTTTGGCGCTGCGGCTTTGGTGTCTCCACATCTGCCTGGGATTACAATGGAGCTGCACTTGTAGATGAGATACGAGACTGTGGAAAAGGCTCCGGAAAAGACGGGAAAGGGACGGAGGAGGGAGCCACTGAGAAAGAGACCGATAGACACACAGACAGACAGTCGGTCGCCGATAAACAAACAAACAGCGATCCGGCGAACACGGATGCCAATGCGAAACCATTTTGCGGATTTAATTGCCGTTAACATGAGGCGAGCTTTATTCCACTCGGCACTACTCCAAAACACGTAGAAAAATCCAAAAGAAATTATTCAAAAATCTAACGATATTAAAATCTAATTTCAAAGAGTGGTAAAAAAAATAATAGTTCGTATACAGAACAAGTTTTCTTTTCTTAAAATTTTTTTTTCTTATTAAAAAGCTGTATTGTACCCAAAAGATTTTCAACAAAAAGATAGTGTTTTTTGTTACCCATATTAAAGCGCCAAATTTGTTGAAAATTTTGTTTAGGTTCTCCAATATTTTTAAGTGCATCTGTTGCTTTTTGTCTGAACGGGTTTTGGGTAACATGAGCTTCAAAGAGTGCTGTAGTCCAGCCGGAGATTAGAGGGCAAACGTTGACATTGTGGAGGTTCCTTCGGAGCTGTACTTTCACCCACTTTGGTCACCCTGAAAAATTCCGCTTGATGGATTTAAGTCGGGATTCGATGACAGAAACAGCACACAGGGCGAATAATCCACAGAAAAATATTCCCCCGAGTTACTGTATATGGAAAACAAGTTCTTATTAGTAAAATCCAATCAAATTAAAAAAAAAAAAAATGCAATATAAACTTCAATTAAATCAATTTAGTAAGTGACGTATTTATATATGTATTCTAATCCTCAGAATTTGTTTTTCCGGGAAAATTAATTTAAATTGGGTTGACTTCAGTTAAAAAAAAACATGCAGAGTCATTAATAAATATGTTATTTCATCACAGGAAAAAATTTTCATAGATGAGCGAAGAAATATTTTGGCCAGGTCCACAATACGGGAAAGATCTTGTGGTGAATAAAATAACATTGTAAATTAAAGTTTACAATATTGATAATATTAGAATTTATTGTATTTGCCAAAAAATGTTTATCAGATCCCAAGCATAAGTATTCATTGTAGAAAGTTCTTTCATTGTATTAAATTAGAGGCCTACCTCCCTTAAATGTCAAAGTTACACATTATTTTCAAAAGTATTTTGAAAATATATATTTGTATTGCACTTACCCATTTGAGTCGCCTGGTGAATGGGGCTTAAGCTGCTGATCTGAGCGGAGGTTATCGCTGATAATATAATCTGTAAGAAAATAACAGAGAAAATTCAGAATGAAGCAAGGACTTTTAAGAACAGTCTGAAAGCTTTCGAAACTTGTCCCAAGCTTTTACCCTTAACAGAAATGTAACATTCCCGTGGAGACTCTGTTAAAGGAAAACTTGTTCAAAAGGACCTAAAGCTTTCACTTCGAAAAACATCGAAGTGTACCCAAAAGCTTAGGACTAAAAGCTTGAGGGATTTTATGAAATTTCCCTGCTTTTTATTTCCTAGTTAAATTTAATATTCCCCTTTGTTATTTAAATAAAGAACCATAAGATGGAATAAAAGTTCAAATCATACAAGAAATATTTAAATATTTATTTAAATTTATGAATATCTTTGGAAATTTGATGTTACTGTGAACTAACATAAGCTTAATTTCAACAACATATTAAGCAAGAATGAATTAAATTTTGATATGTAGTAACGTTTCTGAATTTGTTTAAGTTGTAAGCATTTCTCCAAAGGAGCTTTCTCCTGACACCCTCTCATTGGAATCAAATAAATATTGAAGACACCTGTCTGCAATTTGAACTCAGAAAATATTGACTGATTTTTCTTCCTTTAGTACTTTTTCTTTGAATAAATCATTATTTTCAATAAAAGTTAAGCGAGTGCAAAAAGGGACGTCGGTACTTATTAAAATCATAGATTGCAAAATTAACAACTGAAAAAATGCCACAAAATTTAATATCATATTTAAGTCCATAATAGCTGCGAACTAATTGAAGAATTCTGGTTTAAAAAATACATTTCTGACATAATTAACAACATAACAATTGAATTAACTCTCAATAAATAAAATAAAAACTAAACAATATTTAAGTGCGAAGTGATTTTTTCGTTAAAAATTCAAAAATTGGAAGAGCTTGAAAACTTGATATTAAAATGTCTTAAAGTATGCAACAAAATATTTTAAATCTAAAATTCTTTGGCATTTATTTTGGTTTATCCATTTGGTGCATACTTTTGGACACTTTTTCAAGTATGAAATCACTTTGTTACTTGTTATGGTAAAATAGCGAACATTTAAAAACCTTTTCTTTATCTTATTAAACTTAGCTTGGTAAGTGAACTCACCCTTTTGCAGCTGACTGGTGGGTATGAACTCCTCGTGCTTCTGGTCGCCCTTCTCCTCGTACTTGAGCTTGTAGTCGGAGTGCTTGCGTAGGGACATGAGGAGCGACTGGGTGCGCGGCGGTATTTCCGGGGGCGCCGGTTCCGGCGGCGGTTCCTCCGACTCGCCGCCGCTGCTGTAGTTGCCGTTGGCGTTGCCGTTGCCGTTGCCATTCCCGTTGCCATTTACGTTGCCCATGTCCAAGTCCACATTTAGGGAGCCCAGGACGAACTCATCGTCGCCGCTGTCCTCCGGCGGCAGCATTTGCTGCTTCACCGCGGCAATCTGTTGCTGCTGTTGCTGCTGCTGCTGTTGCTGCTGTGCGATTTGCAGTTGCTGGTGGGTCTGCGAATCGCTGCTCGAACTGGTCATGCCACTCAGACGATTCAGTGTGTTGCGGTTGCGATGACTGCGATTACTGGAGGCCGCCGTAGAGGACGAAGCCGATGTTTTCAGGATGTTGTCCAGCGTGTTCTCCTCCCCCGAAAACTTCGAGCTGAGGAAGGGATTCGTGCTGCGCGGCGTATTGGCAGTGGCTGCATTCTGAACGCTGCTGCCACCGCTGCTGCTGCTGTTGGGAAACAGGCCCAAGTTCGCGTTCGATTGGTATTTGCCCGCCGAAACGGTGGAGACCAACTTCAGTGGCGAACCCATCGAGGAGCGCTGCTGGTGCGGCTGGGCGTAGGTCACCTCGGGGGCGGTCGCCACGGGGGGCGGGGCATCGCCCAGGGGCGTGTCCTCTAGGTGACGATCGCGCTGCCTCAGGTAGTCCGGTTCGCAGTCCGAATTATAGTGCTCCATGCCTGCAAAAATTAACAGACACAAAACACAAAAACCAATTTAGTTAAGTTCAGTATGGCAATTATGCCTATTAAATTAATTAAAATATTTATATTCCCACCACAACAAGCTTGACCGCTTTTTAATAACAATTCTTGTCAATTAAACATTATATTTTAATCAGGTTAGAAACTTTGTAGCTAAAATAAATATATGTAGAGTGTAGTGCAATTGCTTTTAAGCTTTTGTTGAAAACACGAATTTTTTGTTCGTTCTTATGTAGGAAATTGGGCAAAACAAGAGTAGAGGGTGACCTATCTTACACTCCCTTTACTAGTTAACAAACATTTTTTGTTGCCAATTCTCGCATCGTGTCAACAACAATTTTTTCAGATTTGAATGCCAACCTGCCAACTTTTACTATGAATTCAGCGAGATAGGACATTCCATTATTGGACCATTTTTTACATTGGTAGGGCAAATTAAACAATCCTCAACCCTAATTGACAAATATTTAATTTTACTAATTTTTAAGTTTTTTCTTCGAAATATTTTCATTGTTATGGTCCAAAATATATATAAGATATATTTGGTCGAAAACCCGGGATATTTTGGTGGATAATAAAATATAATATAGTACAGTTGCCATTGAAACGATTGAAAAATTCTTATATATATTTATGAAATCGAATATATAAACAAGAATATATAAATTGAAGCTTGCGGAAACTAATAAACTACTATTTCCAATTGGTGGTTTTTCTGGCTTTGGCTCTTTAATCGACCAATGAAAGTTGATTGAAAAGTCCAACAAATCTGTGAATTTAAGAGTTACATGCTTCCATGTTCTACTACACTGCGATCAAACATTTGAACAGCTCTCTGCGTAAAACAAAATGTGCAATTTCCACGCCGCAGGAATCCACTTCTATTTGTTTTTGCTGCATGCAAACTGGCAGACTGCCAGACTGGCAAACTGGCAAACTGGCAGACTGGCAAACTGGCAAAAAAAGGGAAAGCTGGCCTTTCAATTTTCCCGCAAAAGTAACGGCCGGCAAACAATTTGCGAGGAACCGTCGCGTCCGTCAGAGCGTTATTAGGTTGTAAAAAATGAATCGTAAATTGCATTAAATATTAACAGACAATAAAATGAAAGGAAACAAATGCAGGCGGCCCGTAAAAAAGAGCGTTTGCCTCGGTAGTCGCTGCGATTTGCGTTTTATGCTTCGATTAAGTTCGCTCCGGGAAAGTGGGCGGAGTAGTGGGCGGGAAAAGCGTTGGGGGTGGCGGAAAATCGGACGAAAAAGTGGGGCGAATGGAGGGATAACGTCGGAGAGGATGTGCCATTGTATCGGCCATTAGGCTGGCGCTGCCAACTTGATTGTAATTGAATTGCACACTGCTGACGTTCGCGGTGCTGCCATCGGAGTATTGTCAAGTACAGTGAAAACTCGCAGTTAATGCCGTTCATTTTATATCCTTGTAAAAAGGATTTAATATGTGTGCAACGTAGTTGCAATCATTAAAGGTATAAGGGATCTAGTAGCTTTTATCTTAAGCTTAATAATCTATAACGTTTATCTCTGAAAATCTAAAAATAATATAAAATTTGTATATAATTTCAAATTTCGAAATTCCTTAAGAAAAGATAAAAACAATACAAACAAAATATGTGAAACATTCTTAGAGATGTTTAGGTTTTTTCCAGGCAGCATTCACTGTGGCTCATCGGTTACATCGGGCGATTTGCTGAATTCAATCAGAGAAATGTCAGCAGTGCCCACATCTGCCTTCACCGCTAAAGCCCCGCCCCCTTCCCGCCGATTTGTCTCAGCATCTTGGCCAGCTCCATTTCAATGGCCAGCAATTGGAATCGATTTGTGGGCCAGGTCCTAAGCCAGTCGGTTAGTTGGTTACTCGACATCCTCGACATCCTCGACACAGTTGCGGCAGCTGAATAATTCAATTAAATTAAATAATGAATATTTACTAGCTTGACCGACTGCTAAATCGCATTTGGTTCCTAAAACCCGTACTAAGAAAATCCTTCAGACTTCACTGGGCGGAACAAAAGGGGGACTTCTCAACGAAATTATATAATCGAATATACTTTAGATTGCTGGGTTAAGATATCGTACTGAATTCATTTATTTAGTTGTTTTAATTAAAGTGTGTCATAAACTTTACACCCAAATAAATGGAAGTTTAGTTTTCACAAGTGTGTCTGGAATATAAATTACAGACAGTATAAAAGTATATAATACTGTATAATATATCCCCTAAGCTCTTTACTTTCATTTTTAATCCAAAGAGTCTAAAACTGTAGTCTAATTTAATACTTATCTTATTGATAAATTTTTCATATCTAATATTTTAAAATTCAAGTAAAAATAGTTAAGTTTCTATGACAGTTTTTCAGGACTTGAAGATACAAAATTCCCAGAGTTTTAGTTTATTTTATGCTATATACGATACTATCCAGGACTAGAAATATTAAAAATGTTTTTTTTTATTTTAAAAGTTCCACGATATTGCACCTTTAAGGGTCTTTAGCCAAATGAGATGGTTTTTTTTTTACCAAATTTCTCTGAGTGTATTTGCCTGGGTACTCACTTGCCAATTGCTGACTCTGCAGCAGCAGCTGGGCGAGCAGCTGTGTGTCGAAGGCCGTCGTCTGTCCGGTGTTCTGGTACTCGTCCTCGCTGCTGCTGCCGTATCCGTGCCCCATGCCGTGACTTAGGCCGTGACCCAGGCCGTGACCGTGACCGTGGCCGTGACTGTGTCGACCGTGACTGTGCCACTCGGCGGATCGCTGACGTCGCAATTGCTCTCCTCCACCGACGCCACCGCCACCGCCACCGCCTCCGCTGCCCGATCCTGGAAGTCCTGCGAGTCCTGCCAGTCCGCCGGAAGCATAGTAATACTCACTGCCGGCAGCACTGCCGCTGCCCGTCCGCTTACGGCCCATTGTGCCGGAGTGACTGCTGGACATGATGGCCTGGATGTATTCCGATACGCTGGATGCTGGATGCTGGATTCGACTCAAACTAGGCAGGTGCGCCGCGTGGGCCAATTTGTCCGGCGGATTGCTCAACGGATGGCGGGGACGCTGTCAACGCGGCATGGCTCCGCATCCACTCCATTTGGACCACCGGCCCCGGTCGCTTTAAGTGCTTAACCGTATTAACGCTGCAACGATAAAAACGACAAAGTGTCAGAGAGGAGAAGATAAAGCCATAAATGCACGAAAATGAAAATAAATAGCAGCCGGTACCAGGGTATCCCATCCCTTCCATCGCCTGGTACTTTCACTTTGACTTCTGGACGTAAAGTGAACTTAATAGCAATTGCGTGGAGGAGGCATCCCCATTTCTATTTCCATTCGCATGCCCATTCCCCAATAAGCCAGTGCTGGCCGTTTATGTGGATTACAGAATGTAGTAGGCCAGTTTGGCTAGAACCATATTCTTTTAGTCTTGTTTATTACCCAGTTAAAGATTTTAGTTGCCTAGTTGTTTAGTATACACAAACAATAAATATTAAGCGTTTTAGTTTAAACATTAAATATTTATGCAAAGAACAGCAGAAAATATTGATCTATTTTCATGATGAAGTACATTATTTGTTGCTTCTTTATTTTTTAATTATTAAAAAGAGATTTTCTTTTTTTTATAAAATTGAGAAAATAATTTGGATTAATTTAAATACCAATTGTTTTCATGTTAACCCATTTTATTAAAAGTATTTATATTTTTTGTGTTTCAAATGTATATTTGAATAGCAAGCAACCAATTTTTAACTCATTGAAAGAGTATTACAAAATTACAAATACCCTTCTTAACCCCATTTTTAAGTCCCAAATAAAGCGAACTTTGGCTATAAAACAGACAAATTGGCAGCGCTGCTGGCCAGCATTCTGTTTATGGCTGCTTCCTTGGCTTAGACAGACAATTTGACTTTTGATTTTGATGAGTGAGCATTTGAATGCACTAAAACACAGGGGAAAAGAGGCAGGGGGGGTGGCAGGCAAAGGGGCACAAGTGGGTCATTACTGACAGCCTCCGCTCGATGCGGGTTAAGGCTGACTGCTCGATGGCCACGCAAACGTTCAAAAGGACACGAGGCGCAAAGGTTATCCTTGCTGGGGACTTAACCTTACCCCGGCACCGAGGACTCAAGGATTGTGTGTGTGGGACTGTTATCGTTTATGGGCATCGAAGGAGGAGTCACGTGGGGACTCACTCGAAGGATCCCAAAGTGTCCTGCCAAATGGAAAATCTTATTCAAATGCCTACAACCTGCATGATAGTTTCTGTTTTTTTTAAAACTCAATAAAAGGGGAGCACTGCTTATATGTTTAGAAGCTTGAATTGTTGTCAAACAAAACAAAACTTATATCACTGATGTAAATTGTAAATGCTTGATAATAAAATAAGACTTTGTTATAAAAATATATATTACAGAGCTATTATTACTATTTTTCTCTCTTAATTCAAACAATATCGTAAGAAAATTAAAAATTCTATCTAGTTTGTCTGGTCAAAAAAGTTTCGGTCTTCTACTTAATAATTAATACCTATGGAATTAAAATTTCATGTATCCCTTAAATATGTACTAAATGTCTTGCCACAAGAAATATGCAAAGTAATTCAAACAAGTGTGTGATATTTAACGTAGAGAAAAACAAGGAAAGGAATATCAGAATGTTTCCAAGTGCCAAAATCCTTTCTTAACCAAAAAAAAAAAAACTAGACAATTTTTGTTGGCTTCTTTCCCAGTGATTTCCCAGAGACTGGCCAAATGGAATACTATTTGGTACACAGGACATGGCCGGTCACTCCTCCTTTAGCGCCGTAAAATGGTGTAACCGAGTGTTTGGCTTCTTGGGTAAACAGAACTTAATCGAATGCAACTGCATCTGCAGTCGAGTCCAAGTCAACTCGTATCGCTTGCTGTGAGTCCTGCAACTATTTTTTAAACCTCTCCCCAGAGACCCCGCCCACATATTATACCCGCCCCTTCCCCACAGAGCACTTTTCTCCATCGGCAAATGCACAATTTGGCCTGCAAAATGCATATTTGTGGCATCCATTTGTATGGCTTTGTTGGTCCGTAGTCCGAACCGAAAGATAATCAAATACGCATTTCTCTTTCTCTCCCTCTAATGAACGAATGCCAGAGTTGCCAACTTGGACTTTTTGTTGTTGTTTGTCGCAAAAAAAAAGGGTTGCAATAAGTCTGGGAATTCTTTTATATGTCAGGTATTAAAAAACATTTTATTGTTAATTGGGATTTATCCTTTGAACATAACGTCGTTAACCTTTCCTGTATTTATTTATTATAAATATAGGTAAAATAAAAAGAAACTTGAAATCAAAATAATTTAAATACAAGTTGTTACAATAAAAAAAAATTTAGAGCAAACAAATTATAATTATAAAAATCCTTTAGAATTGAAGTCAAAAAGTTCCAAAATGGTAAAAAAAAACAAATAATAATTTGAATTTAATGTTATTTTTATTCTTGGGCTACTTCAATAAATTCCATATATATTTTTTCAATTACGGTGGGCAACACTGTTGATGACTGGGCCCAAATGGAAAAACTGTTCAGCATCAATTGCAATTTAAAGTGAAGCTTGCATTGGCTGCAACGAAACTTTGCTAACGAATTAAGAGCAAAATATTATATGCCTGGCAAAAATGTTGCATAAGGCGGGTGGTGGGCCATTGGGGGTGGGGGCGATGGTCTGTGGGCTGTGGGCGTGGCCTGGGCACGGGCATGGGCGTGGGTGTTGGGGGTGCACGCAATTATTTTGCATGCTCCATTTTAACAATTTGGAGAAAGAAATGTGAGCCAGTGAAATGCGAAAATGAATGAATGAATGGGCGACTGAATGCTCGCTCCATCCCCCCTCCACTCGGCAGCGGAAAGTGGGGCATTAAAGCCTAGAATCCGACATTTTCATATGCATGCTTAAGTGCGTCGAGCAGGAGCCACAACAACAACAACAACAACAGCAGCAACAACAACAACCAAATGCCACAAGGAGCCAAGAAAATATTAAGTTAACCCAAGCAGCGCTGCCCTAAAAGTATGCAATGAAATGTTATTTTCCTCATTTCCACAAAAACTTTCGCTCCCCCACTTTAACCCCAAGCCCCCGCTTAACCCCTGGTCGACCCCCAACTGCCTTTAGCGCCTCAGCGAAACTTCGTCGCGATGCAGCTGCTGTTTGAGACGGTTTCCTTCAGTCTGGTCTTAAATTAATTGCAGCTCAGACCCACGAAGTTCACTTAAGCAATGACCTCAAAGAGATAATAATTGTACGTGGGATACATGGTATTCAAAGTGCATCTTAATTTCGTTTTTTTTCATTCTGAGTTTTAAAATCATTTTACTCATGGCATACTCATAGTTCCAAACGAAACGCTGGTCCCCGACGTAGGACTTAAACTAAATCTATCGATTAGTTTAGCTAAAAGAAGCCAATTAAATTACAGATATATTGCCGTACATTTACATGTCAAAGTTAAGTCAAAATATATTGATTTTTTTAATTTTAACTGATTTTTTTTCGACTGTTTAATAGTTATAAAAGTATCATGTCTTGGATTTACTAGCCCTTGACTCATTTAATATTTTTTTTTAAATACTTTATACCTTTTTCTTAATTTTCATCTGTCAAAAGCCAAGAAGAATAATGTTTTTTTGGTTTGGAGGATAATAACTCCTGAAAAGTGAATATAAATCCGCAACAAATTGCTTAGCTCGCGACACATTTATGTTTAACCACTGATATGTTCGCCTTTGACACTTAATGAATTACAAATTGAGACGGGACGTAACCTTTTGTTTGCCATTCTGCCTTCGATATTGTTTCATTTGAATTCAGCATTTTCACTCTGTGGGTTTTGCAGGACGCATTTCCTCTGACATCAATCGTTCAGCTACCGCCTTTTGTTGTTTCAGCCGCAATATTTATGCAGACGTGGTAAGAGATATGTATGTTTTTGCAGTGCAATATATATACACATCCAGTCGTATAGTGGTGTAGAATGTGGAATATATCGGGGGCTTCGGCTGGGGGTTCAGATATCCAATGACAATGGAAATGGCAAATGGCTCTGCGAACCACAAGCCCTCTATGTCCTCTTTCTCGTGCCGTTGTCAACCGCAAAACGTTTAATTACATGTCAAAATGCGAAATGCATTGAACAAGACAGGAACCATAACACTCAGCCCCCTGCCTCTGCCCCTGCCCCGCCCCCTTATTGCGGCCCGAATTTTCCATTTTCCATTTTCCATTTTCCACTTCCTCCAGCATCCAAGCGCTTCCTGAGCCGCTGCGTCATCATCAGTGTTGTTTTATAGATAAAGCAGCGTTACAGCTTCAATTTTGGTATTATGAGTGAACATGTAAACACAACCTCATTACCAACACAGAACATAGACCAAAACATGACGCACACACACGCACGTGAAACATCCCCGCTCCAAAAAAAAAAAAAAAAAAACACCCCCAGTAATACAACACCCACGTTTACTAGCCAGAGGTTTAGTTTTTGGGTGCCATTCAGAGTCACAAATATTCTTTACCGCATTTGAAGAGCTTAGAAAACTGATGTTATTAAACGATTATGAAGATATAAAAATAACAAAGCGGGTAGGAAATACTCAATAGTTAATAGTTCAAGGAATATGTTATAATTTATAATAACTAAAATTGTTATAAACCTTTTTTTTTAATAAAAAATTGTGTATTTTATGTAAGAAACCATACCTATATAAGATGTTTAGTTTTAATTAAGCGACGAGTATGTATAACATGGACAAGCAAAAAAGAAAAATGCAAATTTTATTGAAGTCTGACTACGTCAAAAAAAATGTAATACAAAAAAAAAAAAAAACAACTGCTTGTTTTTAAACAGTATAAGGATGTAAATTCATGAGCGTAAGCTTTTAAATTAAATTTTCATTTCATTTTGCGCAGT